AGCTGGGAGAGGTCTCATTTTAATCAGAAATGTGCGGGCTACAATCATGCCTCATTAAGAACGGTTCGGGTTATTTTCTGGGGTTTCTGAAAAACTCGTTTTTTAGAAAACCAGGTCTTCAAAGGGCTATGCGGAAGCCGCATGGTCGTATTCGTAATCAGCATAGTCGATAAGCTATAATCCACTAGATTCCGAGCAAAAAGCGTTTAATCACTTCGTGGGGTTCCCTCGTGAGATATAAGAAAACCCTCCCGCAAAAATTACCCATCAATATTATAATAACTTTGCCATGCGACTTGTAATGCACTTTTGTCGTTATCAATCAATTGTCTTTCAATTCCCCATACTTCAACTTCTTTGTCATCGAAAAAGATTTTCTGTGGTCCTAATGATGTCTAAATAAAATCGATAATAGATAGAGCAATTTTCACATAATATAAATTGCTTTAAAAATATTACATAATCTGCTTGACATAAACTTGCTGACGAGTTTAATGCTAAAAGAGATACTTTTCCCGGCATACTACGTTGAACCATTAATCGTTGAAGAATTAAATTTGCGCCTAGAATAAAGACTGTTTAATTGTTGCTCAAAATGACGATGGGAATATTAACCCTCTAGAATAAGTCCTTGTGCTTGATTTTTTTGTATTCGACTTGTTTCCGTTTTTGTATTCTAATTTGATGGGAATTAAATATAAATGATTAAATATGATTGAAAAAAAATGTTTTTATTACTTTGCCTTCTTCAGTAGTTATTGTTATGACATACTCTGAATATTCTGATTGAAATAATATATGTCGATTCAGAGGATTTTTTGGTAACTGAAATTAATAAATGAAAGCAAGTTAAACAAACTAATCATTGTGTACACTTTTTACTTTAACATATTCGGTATGTTCCTGTCGAATAGTATTTAATTCTTTTGTAAGAAATGCTTTAACAGTTGTACCACATGGAACATCGTCAATAGTTGCTTGACTAAAAAAATATAATGATGTTCTATTGCATTTTGTTTGATTCGTCGTGAAGTATCCTTTACCTACTTGCTACAACATGTATGCAATCTTTAATATCACCAAAGTTTGTTCTTGTAACTTTAACATGAAATTCGCCAACATCAGTTTTATCGGGCAGCGTAGATATGAGAGCATCGTCAAATAAAATAGACTCCATATCATAATTAGCTGGAGCAGAAAAAAAGCTAATAAACATTAATGAATGAAAACCTCAGATGCAACTTACTTAAACTACGTATATATTCTAAAGAATCACTATCTGCAAGTATGGAGGCCATTTTTCTTTTCTGATATTGAATCTAAATTACAGATAAGCGCGTAAGTTTTACCTAAGACGTGTCTAAATCTGATCATAGAGTTCCTAGGAAAACGGTTATCAGCGGAGACGTGTCAGATTTGTGCAGAATTGTAACTCAGTACTTTTAACCCACTTATTGGAGTTAGCCAATGGTGGATTTAGAGAGAGGGCTATGTCTGGTCTACTTCTGACTACAGTTTTCAATTTTTCGCAGTAGAAACGACAAAAAACCGACTCATGCTACCGCGGACGGGTCTTGACAGACTATTCTTCTAATCGATATCTCCCTCATGTTTCGCCTCCCCCTCAAGGATCCTGAATCCGTCATTGGAGTTATAGCTGGTCTGAAGCCTATTCCTTCAAGAGTGATATGGTACATCACATTTTACGGCTGTTTTGCACTTTCTTTGCCTCTTTGATGCCAATACTTTAACCGTTTCTGTAAAATAGCGAAAAGCTCATCTTTATCTTGTGTTCATTCAACGTTATTCAAAATACTGCACAATACCTTCTATTTTAAAATGAGCGTTAGTCACAATTCTGAAAATCTCCACATTCAAACTACTTTAGTGCTACTTCTCAGATGAAAAGCAGTTAAGCTACGTGAAATAATGCATCCATTATGTGTATGGAAGTCTTGACAATCGACCCAATGCAGCATGGTTGGAAACGACCAGAGAACAACGACATCTGGAACATTGTTCGACGATAGATGCTTATCTCACTTACCGGTTGCTGACCATTTTTCTAATTTTTATACTATATGTAAATAGCTTTCTAAAAACTACTAGTAGCATGTGTAACCGATTTTATAATCATAAAACCAGATTTTAGTGAAAACAATTTAGAAGGTCTTAGGACACTTTATGTTTACTGAAGTGGTTCCATAAGTGTGACGTGATAGCATTTCAAGGGTAATCCAACAGAGCACAATGTGCATCTTTTACTTTAATCTTTTCGCAATAGGAAAATATATGTCAATAAAAGTGATAAATTTTAGATTTTACTTTTAGCTCCATTCGCTCTTCCTAGATCTACTAAATTGTAGAAAGAATCAGCTTGGTGAGAGTCAGTCATATATTAGTTTGTGCTTTGTACAAAGAGAAAGAAGAATACCTTTGCACTAAGATATTATTAATTTGTCCAAAGTTAATGTAAAACTGGTAGACGCTGAGTTTCAAACACAGTACCTTTGAAGTTCGCGCCAAACAACATAAGGACCAAGTCATGCTGTTCCCGGTAACAAAAGACAGTTGTGGCGAACAGGATGGCGCCTTTAGAAGTCCGAAAAGCAGAAAGCATTATTTCGTTTCGTGACGGGCTCGTAAAAGCAAGACTACAAAAAGTTTCTCACATCTTCTGTTCTTTCTTGATAAAATAACGAAAAAAAAAGATATATTGTAAAAAAGGTATTCTTCAGTTTTTCAAAGAACTGATAAATCAATGGAAATTTTGTTCTTCATTTGTCTCAAACAGAGAACTAGGAAAAGAAGAGAGACGAAAAGAAAATTGAAAAAGCGGAAAGCGAATCCAAAAAGCGGAAAAAGTGGCAACTCTGGTGACGTAAGACAGGTGTATAGTTGTACCCTAATGGAACTTCTTGTATTCAAGTTCTTGATAGTTCTTTTGTTTTGTTTCATACTCTTGTTTATGTATGAGTACAAAAGTTTTCATACTCAGAGTTACTATGGAATTTTTCTTTTCTTGGATCAGAAGGAGTCCACGATTTTTTCAAGATCTATTTCCGCTGGGGTACATTTAGGATGCTTTTTGGATTTATGTTGTTCTTAACACTACGGTTACACTACGCAAATAATCACGATTAAGTATTTTTTAGTGTAACCGAAATTATTTTGAATCATGATTAACAATATTTAATCACGTTGAACAGAAATATGTATGACCACACTAATCACGAATCTAAAAAGATAATCGTGATTTAACTCGTGATAGCCACAACTATAACTAATATAACTATACTCAGTACGCAGGAGAAAACTCATTTTTGTGTTGGCAAAGTTAACATGAATACAGTAACACTCTTTAATCTGATCAATAGATTTGTTGACACCGGCTACTAGTAAACCTTCTTGTACTTTTTTTCGGGCGTCACGATTCCGATGACTTGCCATTTCATTCGATATCATTTCATCTTTTAACAACTTTAACAGCAAGTTTGTTTCTTCCTCAGACACCAAGACCTTTTTGCCTTCGTTTTATTCTTGTAACTCTGCTTAGTCATTTTTAACAAAAAAAGTTATTGTTATAAAATTATTATTAATTATTTATTTATTAATCTGTAACAAGTAATAGTAACTAAGTAAATAGTCATGCCAGAAAAAATCTTTAGGCCAAACAGGCTGATTTGATTTTAGTTGAGCAGTTATATGCAACCGTCGCTATCATGATCCTTTTTTCGATAGATAAGAGGCGGCTAAAGTTAATCACGATTAGAGATAATCATCTTCCCAACATAATTATCTTTACTCGTGATTTTCAAAATAATTGTGATTAAAGCAGCGGTTACACTACTGGTTTAATCACGATTAACAATCGATTAACACGATAATCGTGATTATCTGCGTAGTGTAGCCGTAGTGTACGTAGCTTCTTCATTTCGTGCTGCAAGGAAAACATTTTCCTTATCGCTGCACGTTATGTTCTCTCTTTTCTTTACTTTTATCGTCAACCGTGATCTATACTCAATATATATGCACGAGGGACGAAAGAACAGATACTAGAAAAATAACGCTTCTTGCGTCTTACGGCCCATCACTATCCGTATTGGTGCACCCTTAATGAAACCTCTGCACCTGTGTGGCGCAGTATAGAGAAATATGTAAAAGAACATTCTCTAATAAGGAGGAGATTGTTCTATAGTTTTACCGTGTTCTATCGTGTTTAATAAACAATAATCTACGTAAATATTAAAAAGTCAAGAGTATTCTATGACAAATTTTTTCATTTTTACTATATGGTGCATGTTATTATAAAGAACTGAGAATTTGTTTGATAACATACAAAAAATGTGAGGAACAAAAACTATTTATATATCGCTTCGTCGAGCGGAAGAGACTGTTTACATTTCAAGAATGCAAGGTGAACATACGGTTTATGCTATAACTGGAGGATCAGGATTTGTAGGTTGGAGGCTAGTGTTACGATTATTAGCAGAAAATGCTCAAAATTACATTGTTATACTCGATTTAGGCACACCAGAATACTTAGAAAAAACGGATGTATCCGATGATGATAAAAATCGATTAAAATCAAATGACGATAAAACTCGAATATATTATCGACAGTGTAATATTCGTTCTTATGATGAAGTATCAGCAGGCTTGGAGCCAATTTTGATCAACAATCATTTATGTCATGTAACTACTGTGTTTCATGTGGCTTCATACGGAATGAGTGGTGCTGAATTGTTGAATAAACAAATGATTTACGAAGTTAATGTGATTGGAACAAAAAATGTTATTCGTGTGAGTCAAGAAAAGAATATTTCATCATTAATTTACATCTCGACGTTCAATGTTGTTTATGGGACTGTAGCATTGGCTAATGCCGATGAGACACAAGACTATTTTCCTCTCGATCAACAGCGTTGTATGTATTGTCGAACAAAAACTATGGCTGAACAAATAGTTATCGAGGCAAATAATACCAGTTGTAACAATAATAATAAGAAATTATTAACATGTAGTATTCGACCAGGATCTATATATGGTGATGGTGAAAAAAGACATTTGCCAAGAATATTGAAACATGTATCAAATGGTCTAGCATTTTTTTCTGTTGGAGAAAAAAATGCATTGTGTGATTGGGTGTATGTTGATAATTTGAATCATGCTCTAATACTTGTAGACAAAAAATTGAAACAAAGTGATAAAAGTTTAGTGGCGGGACAGGTGTATAATATAACAGATGACAATCCTATTAATAATTTTGATTTTTTGGAAAAAATAATTGATGGTCTCGGATATCCGTCGACAAGTTATTTTGTAGTTCGTGTGCCCGTATCCGTCATGTTAGGTTTAGCTTGGATATTAGAACATATTGCAGCTTACATTAAACATACACCTCTCGTAGGTCAAACTGAAGTGCTAAAACTAGCACTAACAAATTATGCTAATATTAATAAAGCAAAACAGCATTTTGCTTATAAACCACTTGTGAGTACCGACGAAGCCATTCGACGATGCATTACTTCATACAAAAAACAAGGATATGCATATAAAAAGTATACATGGTCTAAACGAATAGCAGTATTTTTGATCATTATTGTAATTTTAGTTTATACATTTTTGTTGTAATTATTGATAATTTCTCAAAAGTGATCAAATAGCCTCTTACGTAACAAACTTATATTCAAGATGAACTAACGGGTGCGGCATAAAGAATGTCACCTTTTGTATTTCGTGTTTTTCTCAATCCGCTTCCATCGTAAAAACTTGTGCGTAGTCTCAAAAGATTCTCCGTTCAGTTCTCGACAAGAATATATAAAAACCTCCCATTCAAAGTTAAAATAAGAAAACATGAACAAATAACACTGCGAACCTTCAACATAATTACGTTTCTAGAGGTTTCTTTGTTTTGAATTATTTTATACGGTAGCATAAATATGAACACAGAAACGTATCAGAGGAAGTCTGTGGGAACAATCAAGTGTCCTCTTCTCCCAGTGTACAGTGAAGTCAGTTTCAAGCAAGGATTCCGATTCAAAACCTGACTTGTGGTACTTGAGTCGAGAAATGAACTTGAACTATTTTATTTTTTTTTGCTACAATAAAAAAAGTGATTCGAAGTCTACGATTGCGAGTGATTCATCATGCATTTCCCTTCAAGATAAAGCTAAAAACAGCTTCAAAGGTTACTTTTTGGTCGACTTGTACAAGTTTTCTTGAATGTCCCAAAACAGCTGATGCAAGAGTGCAATTTGGGACCAAAATCTGAAAAAAGGAACGTTCTTTTTCATGGCAAATTTTGATGCAAAATTATTTTTTTTACAGATAAAATATCGAGCTTTCTACGCGCTACTAAATGGCTGATGAGTTTTCTTTATGCCTTCAAGTGCCAACACCAATACAAAAGGTGATATTCTTTATGCCGCATCCGTTATATCTTATAGTTATAGTCTCTTTCACATACAAATCATTCGTTTCTCATTTATATTTAATTTCAGTCCTTTAAAAACTACTCATTATGATCGCAAATCCATTTTACTTATGAGATTTTTTGCTCTAAACAGTTAAGAACAGTAAATATTCTTGATGTTTTAAAATAAAACATACAGAGTTAATGTAGGTTGACTTGTGCAATTAACTAACCATACAAAGGTGAATTTATTATGATCTTGAGTAGTCTTTACCTATTTACCTTAATTCTCATTTGATGGAGATGTCCGTGTGGTAAAAATTTCAGCCGAATCGGTTGATGTCGGTATAATCATCTGTCTGAACTAATCAGACAATGGCTCTTAAATATTGTAATTAGATAATCGAAACTGCATCCAAAACTATTCAACATATATAATGTCAAACTCGCATTTGTCGTTATTCAACATTATTTGCACTTCAGCACTCGGGTAAGTTTGTTATTAACCGTGAAATGTATCTCACTAATGGAAGTGACTTGTATCGTTCACTGATTAATTCTACAATACTTCCAGTGTACCATTCATCCAAACTATCTTTGATAATAATCGAATAACAAACTGAGATCTCTGGAATAAAATTATTGTAAATTTCAGTCTACTCAGTTGATTAGGCTATTTTTAATAATCATTGTTCAAATGTATGTGAATTGTTGAAAAAGATCATTTATGTTCATGTGAATAAGAATAATAAGTGACTGCTTTGATTTTCTTGACTCGTCGAGAGTCGTATTTTAGATGATTTATCATTGTTTTTGAACGTAAATTTGATCGATGGAAATCTTGGCCATTTATCTACCTCTCCGTTGTCCATTCTTTGATTGTTATTGTTTATTTTGTCATTATAATTTGAATTAGAAAAATTGTACTAGATTTTTATTCTAGCTTGACTGGTTTTTACTTAAACTGAAATATCGGTAAAAACTTGATTTTCTATTGTAGTTTAATATTCGGGCTGCTTTTCTGTTCGAACTCACCATTCATATTTAAAAATTAATCTGGTTCCAATCGTGTTTTCATTTTACGTTGTCTGCAATCACGAGACACATCGTTTATGCTACAGTATGCTGAAATTCCATTTTTAGCAGTATCATCCAAAATAGTGGTGTTTCGTTTGCAGAGTGAATGATAATGGGTGGTACATAGTTTTGTTCACTGTAAACAGTTGCATTGGATGCTAATAAAACTGCTTCAGACGTTTTTGATTCATAGAGAAGTCTCACTTGCTCTTTTTAGTATTTCTTTATTCCTTCACTATTTTCAGTGTTGTATTAGCATAAGCTAACCTTCCTTTGTAACAACCATGCTTGCAAAAATAAAAATTCAGTTCAGTTCAGAAATGGTTTGAGAGGACTTTGGCTAAAGTCAACTGATTTTTTTTCATAATATTAGGCTCCAAAGGTTCAGAACTTTATACAAGCACATGCCGTTTCACTCTGGATATCTCTTGATTAAATTTCAAATGGAACTAATTTTAATTCTTATTGCACTTCTCCTTTGGATTGAAAAAGCCTCAATTAGCTTTCCAACGGCAGATTCCACAGGAGTCGTGCATAAATGAAAAAGATCTCACAGATGATGGAATCCTGCAAACCTTCTGTTTAGGCAGAAGTTTCAAGAGATTTTGGCGAGGCCTGAGAGTCACATTTACGAATTTTTAGGAATCTTCCGCGACTTCCGCTGAAACTGCTTAAGACATAGATTATAATAGCCTAAATTGGGGACGCACTGCTTGCAATTTTTGGTGAGAATCGGTACCGACTCTAATCAATCACGCTGAATAGGTATCAGCTACTACCAGAATGGGTATTGATTTGCATACGTTCTGTATTGATAGGAGATGAATAAAGGGAGAGAATAGAGTAAAAAAATTGAAATGAGAACGGATTAGTTAATCAATTATTTAATTCTGCATGTTGGCTTGGCATATATTACGTAATAAACTATCGTAGTTTTATTGCCGTTTTTGTAGATTTGTGAAGTGAAAAAAATCAGGTAGATATCTCCGGACTTGGTTGTTGTTTCTCTCTTTTCTCGAGTTCGTACAACAGAGGTAATGCAAAACGGAAAGCTTACACAATTCTAGAAAACAAATACAGATATTTCCGAGAAATTTATGCAATGAGTTTACAGTATGAGGTAAGAAACTATATATTACCTAAATATGAGTAAAGAAAATAACTGAAAATCCGTTACCATCTCAATCAACTGCAGTTGATATAACTGGAAGGTAATCAAATAAAAAAATTGATTAGCCTGCCATCGTAGAAGATATTATGACAAATGAAAGCATACGTAGGATTGTATTATTTCGTATCTGTGAAAGCTGACTTAAAAGACACTGTCTTTTTCAATCCTTAGATCCGTGCCCCGATTTTTATGCCATGAAAATACAGTAAGAAAAAACTGAAAGTTTTTTTAATAATTATGTGATCAGGAGACTAAAATAGAGAGGGTAGAAGTAGAGATGTCCAGGGCAGCTGATTCTTGTGCTCTGAGTCCTAACTCATAACCATTTCCATGCATTTGCCTTATGAATTTACTCGAATCGTGTTTAGTTTTTAGTGTAGCATGTAGTTTATTCTACCAGAAACGCATATAGAAAAATGTTGTGCTTTATTGTAGTTGGCAACAAAGTTGTTTTAGAAAAAGATCTGTGTTCTGCCCTACCCTATGAACCTTGAGATGTAGTTTTGTCCTGACCTGAAGGGTGGGACACGGTCGACTTGCACATCTCTTCATTAGCGTAAAAGAATTGATTAAGTAATATATGAAAGTTCTCTTGTCGGGTTGAAATAGAATCCTGTGATATTATTACGAAATCTTGAAACTTGATATTGAACCAAACAGTTGTTTAATTTCAGTTGTCTAACTACAGATTTATAATGATCATCATTGCCTTCATATATCTTGCTAATTTCTATCTAGTTTATCTGTATGTACTCTATGCAAACTGTACGCGAGAGAATTCATTTTACAAGTTAGTAAAAGAGAAAAACTAGTACGGCTAGCCGTACTGTATTATCTTTGTTTACACTCACTATGTGACACTTGTTTACGAATCGAATGTGGAAACGAGGGAATGTTTAATGTCGTTCTCTTTCAATCTTTTGAAAATTAAATTGATTGAAGTAAATCAATATATTCGTCCGTCTCTTTTAAGTCCTTTTAATAAATGAAAAGACGTTCTCTTTTCAGTCCCATTCTGCACAAATGTCAAAAATAGATTATTTACGTTCCGTTCCGTTCTCCAAGAAGACTAATTACCGTTCTCTTTTAATACTTTCTCCGGAAAATTTTGTAGTTGATGTCGATCTTTACGGCGAAAGTGAAAGGGCGAGGATATCATAAAAAAATATGATATGCAGCAGCAATAAGTCAGGTCGTTTCGTTTCATGTATTGTATTTCGCATGCAAGAAGAACCATTTTTAAAAAAGACAAATGTATTTCCGCAGTCTCATCTCTCATAAACGTACATGTACTATAAGTATGACAGTAAAGAGTCATCAAATTGTTAGTTTTGTTCATTTTGTTAAGAAACTCAGACTTCCGTTGTAATTTTATAGCTAGAATAGACGTAGCATGATTATACTAGACCATTTTGACAAATAACACACAATCAAAAGAGTCACGATGTCTTTCTTCTTTAAATGATAATATTTTTTTCATATCATATTTCCAAAGCAAAACTATAACGTTAGTTTCCTACACTATACTTGATACATAAATTGTCAATTTTTTTAAATTTGTATTTTATCAATGACTTTATTTCTCGTACCGTATATTGGTTTATATGATGAATACTGTTGAAATAAAAAACATGTATTAAATATTCGAACAGTAAAACGGATTTTAATTCAATAATTATGTTTTACTAGAATATTTAGTCGAAAGTCTAATTAAATATTGAAAAATGTTAACGGGTGGTTTTGAATTATAAAATATCTGTTTTTAATATTGAGTATCTCTTTGCATATTCTATGCGTATATATATATATACATGTATATATACTTGAATTCCTCTCTCTGTTTCTAACAAAGCTAATACAAACTAAATTGATCTAAAATCTTTGTTTGTGGTTTGTGCCTAAAGACTTTCATGATAGATTAAACTTTTTTCTAATAGTTTTTTCTTAATTAAATAATAACCCGTGAATCTGCATAGACAAAAATCCGTTTCACTATAGAATGATGCGTAATTTGATTTTGTTCATTGACTATTTAATTTTCTACTATGAGAAATCACTACTGCGTAAACAGTTCTATGATGAGTGCGATGAATACAACGGTTTAACTTTTCACGTTATATCTCTTGAAATATAGCGAGGAGAAAATTACATATACAGACATTTCTGAATCACCATTACGGAAATTATCCAAAATTATACATTTTCTTAAGAACAACGTTATCGACTTCTTAGAAACTAAATCTCTGTGATATGCCCTCATATGATGTTTCAGAGATTTGTGTAATACTCGTTGGATGTTGAAATCGATAATTTTCTCTAAAATCTGTACAAATTTCGCTAAAAATATAAAAGCATTTTATACGTTTAGAAAAAGTAGCGAAAAAACAACAAAGCGGGGAGATGAGAGTGAGTGAGAAGAACCGAAGATCTTAACAACTTAACATCTGAATATCTGAATATCTAAACATCGAGATATTATATAAAACGTAGATGTTCACAAATCAGACTGATCTGAAAAATGTTAATATCAAGCAAAATGATGACATATTTCTGAAAAATAGATAAAATAAATAAATAAATAATATCGTTTTATTTTAACCATTTATTCCCTCATTAATTCACTAGTTCTGTGTAATAAGTAGCAATTTTTTAATATTTTTGATCGTAAATAAGATTAGTGTAATTGTATGTGTCAATGCATATATTTGTCATAGATTAGAATATGAAGAAAAAAAGGATTGTCAATAAGAGAAAAAAGAATATGTGGAAACAATCTATCATCAATTATACAATGTCTTCTAGGATCGTGTTCAAATACTATTCACTATTTTTTATGAAAAAAAATTTAATTGAAGTAGATAATGATTTAATGTCGCACTCACATGAACAAAAGAAAAAATGATTTATGTTTTTATTATTTGACTTTTTTTTGTTTTTGCTGACAAAATTTTACACTATAATGAATCAAATATGTTTTAGGAAATTATTTGAAAAAAAATAAAATATTTTAATGTGCAAGTAAAGAATCTGAAAAAATAACATGCACAGTGATCGTTTGAATAATGTTGAAAAATGCTACTACGACGAAGTGATATTAGTTTAGATTCAGTGTTCGATAGTATATCGAGAGTTTTTCTCGATTACAGCTCATAAAAAGTCTTATACTAGAAGAAAACAGAATTTTAGAAGAGGGCGAATAGTCAGTTTCAGAATTTTGCATACGAGAAGACGATTTGATATGTGGAAGTAGTTAGTCATATTCGGTATTTTATATCCTTGTTCGATAAATTCGGAGTGTTTTTCATGGTTCACATATATTCAGATGTGTTTAAATAATTCTTATATACAGTCTAAGGATCTTAATGTGGCGGTTACTAACCAAGTATACTACATAGTGGATATATTTGAAACATTTTCTTTGTAGTAACAAAACATTTTTATCAAATTCTAAAAGACCAAATATAGTCGATTAGATCACTATGAAAAACGGTGTTTTTTAGCTCTGGGAGACTTCAACAGTTCGTAGTTGTTGTTTTTGAATTTAGATAACTCAATGGTACAAAAAAAAAATGACTAATTTCAAGAGCATCGAAGCAAAACAAAAAACTGGAAAAAGTGTGAGTATAATAATTGTCTTGTTCTCTCTCATCTTTACACCGTTTAAACAAACGATTTGAACAATTTCTTTGTAAAATGTATTATCTGACAATATTAAATTATTTATGCGATCAGACGTGATCGATCTTTCATGATATAGATAATTTTACATGACTCCGAAAGTCAAACAACTTGTTAACAAGAATAAATATTGTCTGTAAATTGTAAGAACAATGATGCATAATTTGAAAACAATATGATTAGAAATGTTTAAAAAAAAACATATTGATCTACAGGATAGTTTCCGTTTCCTTTCTCTCACTCTGTCTCTCTCTCTTGTTCTCTCTTATGAGAATTTGACTTCGACTAATAGAGACCTTTGTGAGAAAAAAAAACTTAAAATTATAGAAACAAAGAAGAAAAAACATAAATGTAACGACTAATAATCATCGTACAACAAAGAAAAGCACGGGTTTTCTTCTTTTTCTTGTAGATAGATAGATAGATATCTCTGAGCTAAATAAAAAATATATATATATATATATTGATATAAAAGAAAGACAAGTTTTTTTTTCTTGTTTTTGGGGAGGGAGAAAAACATTATAGACTATCAAAAGTTTTTGACAGCATATCTATATTAATCTAACATTACAGGTTACAATCATTTTCAATCATTTTCTAGTTATAAGAATTCATAGCAATTCAAACTACACACACACGTCTAAATGTTACGAGACATGGGAATAACGATCATCAGTACACAGATTACTATCGTTTTAATTCTAGTAAGTGAACAAATAAAAATTGTTTTATTCAGAAAACATTCTTTAGCTATATTCTGATTTATTTTTTCAGAAAATAATTTGATCATAGTATTAAAGGAAAGTAGTTATCTACTATATAAAAATTTTCTCTTTGAATTTATCCTACTACATTTTGCAATTATCATCTAATGATTTTATCAGTAGCTAGATAGATGAATCTACTATTTGATATAATTTAGAGAAAATTAGTGTCAAGTTTGCATGTGATGAGATTGAAAAAAAAACAGAGACATATTTAAGAAACATCTGAAGTATGTTTACACAGTCATTCAATTGACATGATTTTATGAGAAAATATTTTTTTGTTTTATTTTTTAATAGAAAAAGAATCTTAAATACATATGAATACATAAAATTTTGAAAACTAATTTTCTTGTTTCAATATTAGCCTCTATGATAAGCTCTAACTTCTATAATCAAGTTTCATTATGCTCAGATATGTTATTTAGTGATGATGCGAACAAATTCTTAAGTATCACAAAGTATGTTTTCTCTTCTTCACGACATTGTATATACGAAATTTAGAAAAGTCAGTTTTTCTATTAAGCAAAAAAGACCTAGTATATTGTTCATAAAAAATTATCAATAGCATGAAATAGTATAAGATTATATGAAGAATGATAATGAAAATTTTTAGTATTTGTGAATTGGAGTACGTCATCACAAAAGATCTATATTTAGTTAATTTATTCTAACTAGAGTAATTACTCATGATAAAAAATATATCTTAGTTTGTATCATAAATGTTCGAATTTTTTCTTATTATATTGTTAAACCTGAATATAATAGTCTAACATAGAACCACCTACAAATTTAAGTGTCTATTTATATTTCTCCATATCCTTTTTTTTCATACATAAATCATAAGTGGTGTATTATTCAAGTATTGCTTGTGGACGTCTTTCTCAAAGCTCAATTGTGATCTTCTGTATACTTCATATATAAGAATTAAAGAGAGCAAACGAAAGAGAGACAAAGAGAGAGAGAGAGAGAGAAGGAGAGAGCGAGAGCGAAATAAAAGAAAAACGCCTTCAGGCAATCATATCTAAAAATTGTTCGATATAACAATAAGAGATCTCTATTTATGTTTTGGTTTTTTCTATTCATCACTTTAGATTGCCGGTCAATTATTATTGGCTTATTCTGAAACAACACCAAATGAACAACATCATCTATTCAATGAAAATGAAAATAAAAATTATAATAATAAACTAATAATTGAAAAATCTATACATACACCATCCATTAACGATCACAATTACAAAATACTTCCTGATTACTATAATTTAAAATATGATGACGAACAACAACATGGTGAAGGTGAAGATGATGAAGAACAAGATCGATATAAGCGTTATCGTTTTGACAAACGTAATCTTAGAGAGAAAAAATATCGATTAGATAAGAAAAGTTTTGAAGATGAATTACATAATTTAGATAAACGATATAGATTAGACAAACGCTATCGTCTGGATAAAAGGTATCGATATGATTAATCAAGAATATAAAAAGAAAAAAAAGAAGAAAATAGATGAAACTTTTAACATTTTTTTCTACAATGATCGTTATAAAATAAATAAAATTTTAAAAAATAATATTTGTAAGAGTAATAAAATCTTTGACAAATTGAATAAAATAAATACGATAATTGATCATGTTTTAATTTTTCAACATTTGTATGTTTTTCATCTTTACCTGTAATAAAGGTTGTGTGAATATATATCCATATTACTTATTTATAATAATATATATCGCGTATATTTTTGACTTCTTAACTTTTTACTACTCTTGAAATTAATTTTTTTTCATAACTGTTAATGAGAAAACAACTTGTCATCAAACTCAATCTGACAAATAGAATAAACTTGACATGACATTTTTTATCAGTTTATCTAGTTTAGGAAAACTCATAAATTTTTTAATTACAAAAAAACGATATAATATGACATAAGAGAATGTAACAATTATTCTACATTCATCAAACCTTGAGAAGTGTTAGGATAATTAGTTTTTCGTATCAAAATAGAACTTTTTAAAAAGTATCCATTGTTCTCGTATCTAACATTCTCTCATGGTGGTGCTGATATTTTCAAATCATTTATTATCTATAAAAACGAGACTTTTGACCGCTACATAATTTAGTCAATCAAAAAACATTAAAATACTCAAAAATATCTCTTTTGATCAAATGTCTTTTGTCAACATGAAACAGTCATAAATAACATCAGCAAACTGTCTTCAATACCACCAAAAAGATGTTGAAAACAAGATTGGAAGCTTTCGAGCATAGTCAAATTGTATGATGGAGCAAAAAATTAGTTTAATTCCAGTGTGATGTGTTGCACAGATTTAAAAAAAACTATATGAAATATTCGTTCAAATACAATAAATATAGAAAATATTCGTCATGTTCTTTTGAAATCAGGTAATCGTACTGGATAACGATCGGCAATCAGTAGCTAATATTTTCATCACCATCTGCTGTTGTTATATGTGTACCATATAAAATGAAACTTAACACTTATAAATCGTCAGTAAGTATAAATCGTACTGATATATCATATTGGTTTAATTTATTTTATGTTGTTTCATCATCAACTTCAATTATACTGCCACCGCCGATTGAATGGATATGTATCGGTCTAGAAAACGGACGTCATTTGATGACTTTGCTGTATAGCAAATATCATATTCGTTAGTATCCTCACTAACATCGTATACGTATCCTATCGGTCTCATACAATACAAATGCAAGGATTCAGTTAGATTGGTCATATTGTCGCCTCTATGGCTGAATGGTTATGTTGTTCGATACGTACTTCAAAGGGACCGTGTTCGAGCCTCGGCACCACCCAGTCATAGAATAACCTTGGACAAGTTACTAATGGCTATTGTCTCGGATCACCCGTCCGATAGCATGCTCACTACGTTGTGACATACAACGGTACTTCGGTGCTAGTATGTGGTTAGTGAGTGTGTATGGGGGGGGGAGCCCAAGTAATTGGGCGAAAAGGGCTCTGTGTCACGCTGGCCTTCTGTCCAGAGCTAGAGCTTGCTTAATGACTAGTAGAAGAACGGGTGACTGTCTCTGGAGATCATCAGCTGTAGGGAAGATATCGGGCTTATCGAAACTGCTTCGACAGCACCCTACCCCGCAAGGTAGCCGCAAGGCGGGGTATTCTTCCTTCTTCTTCCTTCTTCCATTATGTTCAATATGCATTAATATGCACATTTTTTCATTATCCATTGGTATTGAGAGAGATTGACTGTAATCACTCTATATGAATGATATATGCTTTCCTCTCATTAACTAATCATTCAGTGAATTAATTCTTTTTTTTTTATACAAAAATATCAGTAAAAAGAACAACATGTTATACTTCCTCATCGTATCGTTTTATTCTGAATCTTTCTTGTGAACTATTTGTTGTCAACATTGCGTCTAATGATGATTGATCTCGAACACCGTCTAAGTGTTGTTTATTCCGTGATTCAATGTCATTAGAAATATGTGTATTTGGTTTATGATCTGACTTTTTAGTCGTAATTAATAGAATAATTGCGGTAATAATTGTTAAACAAAACGCAGTCCATTCTAATGCCATTGAATACCCATTTTTAATGGTAACAGAGGAATGAAATCTCTGCATAGTTATTTTCATATCTTCACTGAATTTATATATTTGTTTTGCTCGATAATGTTTTTCAATGGCCACCAAATATTCTAATGGTTCAAATTTCAAATAATTATTCATTACAATTAAATTTAACATCAGAAAAATAATGGAACAAAATGATGATATAGCACCAATAAGTTTTTTTATGTTCATTTTTTTATTAGATAACGCAACCCATGTGTAAAAAATAATAGTCAATAGAATAAATATTATAGTAATAGCTGATAAATATCGACATGTTAACGCGTACCTTGGATATCTACAATTACATAACAACGCTGATTTCTGTTGATTTTCTTTTGAATATTTTAAATTATCAATGGCAAACTTTTGTAATAGATAATGATTTTGAATATCGAATATTTTTTTATTAGCTTTAGTACAAAATTGATAATATTCTAAACTATGACATTCGTTAAAATTAATATCTTGATAAGATGGTAGATAATTTTTTGTACATGATTGATGCTCTTTTTCAGATAATAAACTAATAGTCAAATTTATATTATTTAATAAACGTTCACAACGTTGAAATATCCCGTATGAATGTTTTGTATAACGATGAACAGCGTTAAAATAATGTAAAACTTCTCCACGAATTAAAGCATCAACACCATCAACGTACAAGGCATTTGAATTTGGTACTACTTCTTTCCAATGTGGAGTGAAATAAGCGATTAAATGTAATAAAAGACTAATAACACATAATGAAATACCAATAATACCGCCGGTTGTAAAAGATGTAACCATTTTCTTATGAAATATCTAGTAAGATATAAGATTAAATTCTACTACAACTTTAATAAAAAAAAGTCTGTATACAAAAAAGACATACAAATTCCAACTATCAAGAGAAAATTATACATCAAACTCAAAATATTATTACAATGAGATTATTATTATTATTATATATTATTATTCGAAAAGCTTTATCATGTACTAAAGACAGCTACAATTAGTAAATCTCATTCACAACGTCATATAATTGGACAAACAGATACTTAGGAAGAACGCGTACGGAGATTCAAAAGTTCAACCGGACAAATATTCTGAGCGTAAATGTGATCGTGTTTTCGACTTAGTTAGTATTAGAATATGTTTGATATTCTAAAAATGCTTTTGTATTTCATTGTTGAACAATGTATAACCTTAGTAAGGAAAAAACTTGTAGACAAAAATTTCTTGAAACAAATTCCTTAACGACTACATAAGTATCAATAGGACGTCGTCATGAGCTTGTAGTGAATGAACGGTCAACTTTTTGAAACTTGCTTAGGGATGTTTTCATCTGAAGGTCTAGAAATCGACTGAATTTCACTCTTTTAAAAGAGAAAGAAACTAATTACAGAATATTCCATAGCAAATCAGCAGATTTCATGTCTCAATAAATTTACATCCTACTTGTGCATAGCCCAAATCCTGCACGTTTAATATTTCTATGTTCTTACAATAGTTTGTATTCTCAAGTAAAAGGAGCAAGATTGAAAATCTTGCGTTTTTTCTTCGGATCGAGTTTGTAGCATAAAATTTCCCATATATGGATTAAATCGGGAAGATCTCTGATATTCACATGGATTTTATTTTATTATTTTTTTAGGGAAAAATATGTTTTGATCACCAAATTTAAGAAAATTTAAATTAATGAAAATCTATACAGGAAGACTATATAGCAATTTAACGGGTGGCCGATAAAGAATGGCGGTCTCAGTATTTCGTGAATATCTCATGCAGTTTTTATCGCTCAGACCTCGCCTTTTTGTCAAAAGATTCCTTATTCAATTCTCTATAAAAAAAGTGTGAAAAGAGTTTCTACAAAACAGAACGGTGAAACTCTATGTGGTGAATATCGGCATGGTCTGAAAATGCCCTTTTTCAAAGTATGTCTTATCGTTCGTTGCATTTCACGTCACCATATGATTAGATATAGAACGATTGAAGATGCCAATTTGTAGCTCTCGAAAACCACTATCCGCCGAGCGATGATAGAAAAATTCTGACTTTGAAACGTGTATGAGCAGAACGTTTTTCTTTTTTCTCACGTTGATGTTTTTTTGGATCTGTTATTGGACTTCTCCGTAACCTTCATACGGTCAGCTCACAGCGTAACTTTTCACAGTCGAATCTTTGCCAGGTCAAAGAAAAATGCTCTTTCTATCATCGCTAAACGACTTTATCGGCGTTCAGTTAGTTTTGGCAACAAATTGTGCGTGAGAACAAAACGTTGAATTATTCCACCTCATTTTTCAAGGCAAACTGCCCCTAAAATCTCGTAATACTATCCATGCGACTTGTTTCAAGTGCCACGAGAAAGAGCATAGTTCAAAATAGCGAGAAATGTGCACCACAGTGATTCGGCACTTTATTAGTCAGAGGGAGAAAAAAAATTAATATTGTGAAAACGTGCGTTTGAAAACAGGCCTTTTCGAAACGTACCAGTGTTCACCAGATAGAGTTTCACGGTTCCATTTTGTGCAAAGCCTTTTCACACATTTTTGTACAGAGCTGAATGAGGAATCTTTTGAAAAAAAGACGAGGTCTGAGCGATAAAAACTGCATGAGATATTCACGAAATACTGAGACCGCCATTCTTTATGAGCCACCCGTTAATAGCAAAATTAATTAGTTTAGTTTCAGCGTTATTGCAAATTCATTAATGGACAGACAAGAAAAAGAATATAAAGAAGATATATACAAGACGAAGTATGAATAGAAATATGAAAGATATATGAAATATGTCAACAACTGACGGTTTTTGAAATTCTATTGCCAACGGTTAAGTTTTTTGAACTTTTATGATTTTGTCGACTCACAAGAGCTATCAATAACTGCCCTAAACTATACACGACACCATCAAAAAAATATCGAAGCAAGCATGGAAAGTATTACGCACAGCTACATCGTCCGATGAAGCGAAAGAATACGCAAAATTACAATTTAATGTTTGTCAATATCGTCGATCAGATTTAAGAAACTGTAAAAAAAACAATAAAATTTCAAAAACCGTCAGCTATTGACATATTTCATATTTCTATTCATACTTCTTGTATATATTTTCTTTATATTCTTTTTCTTGTCTGTCCACTAATGAATTTGCAATAACGCTAAAACTAAACTAACGAGGGAACATATCCAACTGTCAAATCGCTTTCGAGCCGAAACCTAGTGGACTATAGGTAGTCGATCATGCTGATTCCGAATATGATAGCCGTTTTTCCCCATAGGCCTTTCCTAACCGGTTTCTGAAAAACTAGTTTTCCAGAAACCTCGAAAAATCCCCAAGAGTTTTTCTAAATAAGTCACAACTGTAGCCCGCGAAATTCTGATCAAAATGAGACATCTCCCAGCTCTACGTGATCTTTCTTTGCAAAGTTATAGAATTCACAAGAAAAGCCCTAAATGTTTATTGTCACCTCAGAGCTACAGAAAGAAGAAGAAAAGATGAATTTAGGGCTTTTCTTGTGAATTCTATAACTTTGCAAAGAAAAGTCATGTAGAGCTGAGAGTTGTCTCATTTTAATCAGAATTTCGCGGGCTACAGTTGCGACTTACTTAGAAAACCTTTGGGGTTTTTTCGAGATTTCTGGAAAACTAGTTTTTCAGAAACCGGTTAGGAAAGGCCTATGGGGAAAAACGGCTATCATATTCGAAATCAGCACGATCGACTACCTATAGTCCACTAGGTTTCGGCTCAAAAGCGATTTGACAGTTGGATATGTTCCCTCGTGAGATACGTTGGAAGTACGAAACCATACTTTTTCACCACTAATTTAAGAATAACAGTGGGAAAACAAGGGTTGTAAGGCTGTAATTATTCGAATGACTAAGTTACCTCAAGGTACACATTGTCTGGAGTTTTCGTCAAGAGTGAATATTCCTGAACGTAAACAGGTTTCTGAGTGGAGAGGGAGTCCTTAAATAACTTTTAACTGTTAATAGTCAAAGAGTTGCGGTTTTTGTCATTCGTTCCCCTGGAAAATCAGTTATTTTAACAAATTTTGAAACGCTCGTTTGATACATAAAGATGCCCCCATGTCTTGAATATCGAATGACGAAAACCGCAACTCTAGCTAATGTCGGTTAAAAATTATTTAAAAAATGGCTTTTGTGGGCACACAGTAATAACCGCTTAGAAATCTAATATACCTAAAAACGACTTAAAATAACTACTAATTTGTAGCTTGGGAAAACAAGTTGGGACGCCTTTCGTTGGAAAATCATAACAGAAACAAGACGCAAAAAATGGGCTTATACTAGCAGAGTTGCGCGACCAGGCTACCCGGAAGAGCACAACAAGATAACGTGCCTCTTGAACACGGATGATAGAAACATTTCCGACTTACCTAATATTCCCGTTCCATAAGCAATATATTCAATATCAATTGCATCTAATAACCATGCTCCATTTTCGTCGAATTTTGGTACTTTATTTACCATATTCATCGAAAGAGATGTCATATTACTTGTAGGCAGTGACGATTTCGGTGCATTAGGAACAGGCGAGCGATTCTCTTCAGTTTCATTATTTGTCAGTGCTAGCCTATTAATGTCCAATTCTCCAATGGCTTTAATTTGGATTCGGTGTCTATGTCCAGGAAAATAAGCTAAAGGTATTTGTTCAATTTGAGCTATTTGAACTGTATGCGGTTTAGCCCCGTTAGAAATACATTGTTCCACCGCTGAGCTAGTCAAACGAGCTAATTCTTCATCACATAAATTTCGACCATCAACGCATGATGGCGGAAGATCAGCAATTGTTTCAACACATCCACTAACACAGCATATCGCTGCACCAACGGCATTACAAACATCAAAATGAGAAGGACGAATAATCTGGGAATAAGAAGTAAAGTTGTTGAAATGTTTTTATCGATCAGTTATATAACATACTTTGGATGCTCCTTCAATGCTGTCTCCGTGAACTAAAATTGACCCTCCGCCACAAATAATGACTGGTACTGGCTCTGCACTTGTTTTCATCCGATCAACACCGGTGGCAATTATTGAAGAGATGTGAGAAAGGCTTTTTGAAATTATATCAGGTGAAATAACAATGGATTTTCGACCGATCTGTACAAAATGACTTTTTGATGAAAGCAATTATGACATGTGCTACAACTTCGTATTAAAAAGCCTCTACCATCTTATAAACCTGTTATTTCCGATGTGTAGGTGTGTACTTACTTCTTTTTCCAGCCCAGCTGCTATTACTATATCAGTTGTTGTCATTACATCACCTCCAAACACCATTGCTTTCGTGTCTAATTCATACCCAACGCTTTCTGGTCCAACACTAACCTGATCATTATTTCTAACTTTGATTATTGTTCCACCCCCCAGTGGATAAGAGATTATATCAGGCATGGAAAAATTGACTCTAATTTCAGCTAATTCTGCATTCAGCGTTCTTAGACGTGGTCTACCATTCACGATAAATCCAATATCTGTTGATGTTCCACCAATATCGATAACAATTCCATTTTTGATTGAGGATAGAAGCGATGCACCTATCATCGAATTAGTTGGACCACTTGAAAATGTTAATATTGGCATAGACATACACTTTTCAGCTGACATTAATGTACCATCGTTCTGAGTTAAATATAGTGGACATCTAATACCTATCTTTTGTATAGCATATTGAAATGCCGGTATAGTATAATTAGCTAATGGTCTTAAACAGGAGTTCAGTATCGACGCATTTTCACGTTCAAATAAGCCGAGCCCACCAATCTGATGAGATAATGTAATGTAGTACTCTTTTGCATCCAAGGCGTTCATTTCTGATTTGATCACTTCGGCTGCTTGTAATTCTTGCTCATAACACGATGGTGAAAATACACCACAAATACAATACGATGAAATATCTTTCGATTTAGCTTGTCGGATAATTTGACGTAATTCAGCTTTAGCTTGATCATCGAATGATGCAATTTCTTGTCCATCAAACCGATAACCGCCGCTGAGTAACTTAGT